TCAGCAGTTAGAGCAGTCTTGTGACTTCTAACAGTGTCCAGCAGAACACTGGTTAAAGCTTGTAGGAGGATTGTACTTTCTGCTCTTGGAGGATGCAGAATCCCTGACCTTTGTCTGGACAGTGCTGATTGGCCCTGTGCTGATCACTTGCACTCTCCCAAGAAAAAAAAAACTCTCTAGCAATACACACCAAACTGAGCATGTGCAAAGTGTCTCCACACGATATGTCTTATCAGGAGATAAGAGGGGGGCACTGAAAGAAGGGGGGATCAGAGAAGTCAGGATTAAACAGCATTTTTACACAATGTAGAGGATTAACCCCTTAGGTTCCACAATTAGTATAACAAAGCATGCTTTACTGCATATATAGACTGATTTTACTGTTGTGGTTTTAGTAACATTTTCAAGTCCCCTAGCACAATATTGTTTCCTTTATTATTTGTATTTCTTCCCCAATCCAGGAACAATATGTATGATTTTTCAATAAAGATTTTAAAAGGGACCTCCAACCAGTGAACATATCCATCGGGAGCAAATTCCCCCCTGCACTACTTTTATTTTACCACAAGATGTCCTCAATCTTTGAGGAGAATAATGCACAATCCAGCAATTTAAAAATACAAAAAAAAAAAAATTAAATGCCTCTCAATCCAATGACAGAGGCTGTAGAAGGCGGGGTACCTATAGTACATATTACTACAGAGTGGAATTTCAAATAAACAAGAGATTCATAGTCTTTCTGAAAGTCCCTTTTAATCAGCTTGATATACAGTAAATAATCTGACTGGTTTGTCTTTAAGTATTTAAAAATGTTATTTTATCTGTATATAGTTTGTGAATTTACAGTATGTATATTTGCTCATATGCTTCCTTGGTAATTATTTAGGGCTCATGTACACAGGACATTTGGAAAACTCTTCTGAACGATGGAAACTGACTACTGGAAAACGTAGGTTAAAAACGTCAGTTTAGCCGTGTTTGTATACCGCATTTATGGGCGTTTGCATTTAGAAGCGTTTTTAAAAGATAACCTCAGGAGACCTTCCCAAATGGCTAGAATGCACTGAAAAATAGTAAAAAATTAACTATTTCAGACATTTTGAGAGTAATAGAAAGAGCAGAAGCAGAGAGAGCAGTATGTGTTGAGATGACCTGTCTCTTCTGGTTGTATTCACTATGGATACCATCATGAGCATAATGCGGCACGTTCTACCATTTTTTCCTTCACGCGAAACCTGGAACTGACTGTGCTGGTGTACTGAGTCCATTTGAATACATGAAAAACGCTTTGCATGCATTTCTGATGATGGACAGCATCTGGACGTTTAAAAGTTAAAAATGCTTCTAAACACAAATGCTTATAAATGCAGTTAACCACGTTTACAAACATTTGGCATTTGAAACACCAGTAAAATCTACTCCTGAACACAAGTTTAGTGCGTTCAAAAAAAATGACTGTAAACTGCCTGTAAACGACTGTAAACGACATAGTGTACATGGACACATAGGAAAACATTAGGGAGAGTTCAGGGCTGCTGAAAAAAAATGCAGAAAAGCTCCTGAACGTCAGTTTATCAGCTGCAGTGTACATGAGCCCTTACTGTCCCTTACATTTCTCATTGCAAGGATGAGTCTGCTCAGACTGATTGGGAACAACAGATTTCCTATGTGTTATTTTTCATTTTATCTCAGCGTTTGCTTTGTTGGATTGCTGGCCAGTCATATGATGTAAAGAAAAACACTAGAATGGCTAGTGGGAAGAATGAGTGGCGGTTATAATGTCACCCCTATAGACAACTAAAAAGATCACTGGATTCATGTAGCTTGCTCTTCCAAGTGGTGTTGACCCCATACTATGCATTCACCATCAAATGTGAGGTCATTCAGCCACAGCTTAAGGAACCCCTATAACCTCTGGAGGAACCCTGGTTGAGAATTGCTGTACTATAGGGAGCAGGGGCGGACTGACCATTTGGAAACTCGGGCACTGCCCAAGTGCCTGGGGTCAGTAGGGGGCCCCATGAGATGCCCCTGTTACCTTTTTCATAGGCTTTTTTGAGTTTGGGCAAGGACACATTATGTATTTTTTAAGTATTGTAAGTACTTGAATGTGATCTGGTATCAGCTTTTTGCAGTCCCTGTACAGCAGAGCTGGAGTGTGAGAGGAAGAAACAGCACAAAGAGCCAATCAATTCATGTACTGACAAGAAGCATGCTGATAGGAGGAGAAAGCTGAGCGACAAAGAGATGAACTCATCGCTGTGCTGCTGTTTCTATCACTGACCAGTCAAAGTTGTGTGCAAAGAAACAAACAGAGGGCGCATGGGCCTAGTGCATTACCTTCTAAAAAAGAGATTTATTGAATAAAAAGTAGTATACTCACAAAAGAATAAAATCAAAGGCACATCACAAAAAAGACAGCATGGTCCAATCTCCCTAGATGGTGGCTGTTGGGGGACTGTAGGCCTCCAAACGGCTGACGTGTTTCGAGGCACAACCTCTTCCTGAGGAAAAGGTTCTGCCTCAAAACGCATCAGTCATTTGAAGGCCTACAGTCCCCCAAAAGCCAGGTTCTGCCTCGAAAAGCGTCAACCTTTTGGAGGCCTACAGTCCCCCAACAGCCACCATCCAGCATGATTGGACCATGCTGTCTTTTTTGTGATGTGCCTTTGATTTTATTCTTTTGTCAGTATACTACTTTTTATTCAATAAATCTAATTTTTAGAAGGTAATGCACTAGGCCCGTGCGCCCTCTGTTTGTTTCTTTGGATTCCCCTGGTCCATTGAGGGCAGTAAGGCTTGCATTCCCAAAAAGTACTCCATGTGGGGTTACTGATATTGTGGAGCTCATCGTCCAGTGCAGGAGTTTCAGCATGCATTTGCTCATGCATTTTTATCAGACCGACCAGTCAAAGCCTGAGGTAGATCCGGAAGAGGCTCTGAGGAAGAGGCAAGTCCTCGAAACGCATCAGCCTATTGGTTGTCTACACTCCCTATTGCAGACTGTTACTCAGCACAGTGTTGACCAACCTGTTCTTTAATGATGTGCCTTGACTTTATTGTCGTTTTGTGAGTACAACACATACTTTATTTCTTATTAAACATTTTTTATGGTAATGCACTAGGCCTGTGCGCCCTCTATTTGTTCTTTCCTCATTCAGTAGGTCCAGAACAGCCTGGGGTTAGAGGGGGGTGGATTGAATGATACTGGACCTCAGACTGTGGACATCTACTATCAGAAAAGATAACCTGCTGGGGACAGCTCTGGATTAAACTGGAATATTTCAGCAAAATATATTTTTATGTTTTATCTCTTAATGGTCTAATCATATTTTCTGGAGTTCTGCTTTATCTAAAACTACACACTAGTTCACACAAGATCTTAAAGACCATTCCAAATGACTGCTGACCAGTGAACATGGCTCATATTTTTCCTTTCTTAAAGCTGAACTAAACCCGTTTGCCAAAACAGTTACATTTAAGGCATCCCATGAATGATATCTGTTACAGTTGCTTGTCCTCTCAGCTGAACTGTCAAGCCATCAAATAGCTGGTGTCGTAACTGACCACATGTGCGGCACCATGACAGATCAAACAGAAGCTAAGATGGCAGCTTTTTTCACTGTTTAGGATAGAAGGGTGTAGTTCAGCTTTAAGAAAACTTTTAACTGCTACAACCATCAGCTGTTAGAAGGGTGAATATATTCTGACTACATTAAAGAGAACTGGTTATGACGGGGCTTATGCAGGAATCTGAATGTAAAATATTATAGCTGTGCAAGCTTTTTTGATGAAAGATTTAGATTTGCCTCTTCATAGTTTTACTTTGTGTAAGTCTGTCTTCAGCTTGTGACAGGCGTCAGAGATCACCAAACATCTGACAGGTGATGACTGTTAACTGCCAGATTTCAGGTGACTTCTAACCCTCTGAAGGAAACTGAAGCCTCAGACACCTTAAAACTAGCAGCAAATATAAACTGTTCAAAACTGCACCGTGAAAATTGTTTAAATCTGAATGTTCAAACTCCTAATATATAATGACTGCTTCTCTTTAAAGTGGAACTTCACTCTCTCAATCAACATTATTATTATTGGATTATTTGTAATCCTTGTGCTGCTAGCATTAGTAAATAGGAAAGTATATCATATCTACTTGTTTTTTTTTTACATTTTTTAAGTTACTTCCTGGTTTCTATGCCTAGGCAAATGATGTCACACATCCCAGGAGCCTTCATGAGAGGAGGGAGGTCTCTCAGCCAAATGCCTGAGCTAAGGGCAGATGGATTCCAGTAAGTAAATGCTACACTAATCATCTGCCCTTACTCAAGATGGCCACAGCCAGAAAAACCAGGGGGGGGGGGGGATGGGTGAGTTTGCTTTGAATATAAACAATTAATTAAATCACATTTTTTTTTGGTGGTGCTCCTATGCAGTGCAGTTCCACTTTAAAGATAAATTTACAGGTTTGCATTACATTTAATACACAAGCGCATCTGCTATAGGCTTTAGATGAATTTTGATGTGTTTTAGAGAGAACCCACTCAACTCATTTGAACCTTAAAATTCAGGTCAATAAAGTGGAAGAAAATCCGAAGTCTAACTAGTTCCCTCCCACCTCCTGTCCTCCTACCTATCCTGAAAGAAAAATGTAAACAATAAAAAATATGAGCGCTGGGTGACAACAAGGAAAAACACAGACGGGAGCAGCCAGCATAGAAGGGGAAACAACCTCAGATCCTCCAAGAAATGCCAGAAATAAAACTACAAATGCGGCGCTCTATAATATTTACAGTATGCAGGTAGTATCTCACAGTATTCAAACTTATTTGATATAGTACATGCGGATTAATGTGACTGTTGTGTGACTAGAGATGAGCGAAGTATTTCAAAAATTCGATTCGGCTGATTCGGCGAATTCGAGGGAATAAATTCGATTCGATGCGAATATATTCGCTGCGAATTTAACTTATAAAAGGGTGTTTCTAGGCTTCAGAGAGCCTTTATATTAGTGCAGAAACACTGTACTTTAATTTAAATGCCCTTGGAGTCTGCTGGGGAAGAGAAATAATACTGTCAGTCAGTATGACATGCAGATGAGTGCCGTCGATCTTAGAATCACCGCACACTTCACTCATTTGGGCAGTCACGGGGCCAAAACCAGAGTGTGGAGCCACAGTGTGGCGGTGGAGGCAGCAGCAATGGGAGGCCATACAGCACCCTATGACAAAAATGGAACCCACCAGCAGTGTGAGGAGACCTGAAAGTGGCACATGGCAGAGTGTGGCGATGGAGACAGCAGCAATGGGAGGCCGTACAGGGACCCATGAGAGACTCTGGACCTTGGCAGCAGCATGAGGAGGCGGTACGGGGGCCCATGGCAGATTACGGGCCTGGCAAGCAGCAAAGGGAGGCCCGTAATCTGCCAGCACCCTATGACAAAATGGAACACACCAGCAGTGTGAGGAGACCTGAAAGTGGCACATGGCAGAGTGTGTGCGCGATGGAGACAGCAGCAATGGGAGGCCGTACAGGGACCATGAGACACTCTGGACCTGGCAGCAGCATGAGGAGGCGGTACAGGGGCCCATGGCAGATTACAGGGCCTGGCAGCAGCAATGGGAGGCCCGTAATCTGCCAGCACCCTATGACAAAATGGAACACACCAGCAGTGTGAGGAGACCTGAAAGTGGCACATGGCAGAGTGTGGCGATGGAGACAGCAGCAATGGGAGGCCGTACAGGGACCCATGAGAGACTCTGGACCTGGCAGCAGCATGAGGAGGCGGTACGGGGGCCCATGGCAGATTACGGGCCTGGCAGCAGCAATAGGAGGCCGTAATCTGCCAGCACCCTATGACAAAATGGAACACACCAGCAGTGTGAGGAGACCTGAAAGTGGCACATGGCAGAGGTGTGGCGATGGAGACAGCAGCAATGGGAGGCCGTACAGGGACCCATGAGACACTCTGGACCTGGCAGCAGCATGAGGAGAGGCGGTACGGGGGCCCATGGCAGATTACGGGCCTGGCAGCAGCAATGGGAGGCCCGTAATCTGCCAGCACCCTATGACAAAATGGAACACACCAGCAGTGTGAGGAGACCTGAAAGTGGCACATGGCAGAGTGTGGCGATGGAGACAGCAGCAATGGGAGGCCGTACAGGGACCCATGAGACACTCTGGACCTGGCACAGCAGCATGGAGGCGGCGGGCCGGTACAGGGGCCCATGGCAGATTACAGGCCTGGCTAGCAGCAATGGGAGGCCCGTAATCTGCCAGCACCCTATGACAAAATGGAACACACCAGCAGTGTGAGGAGACCTGAAAGTGGCACATGGCAGAGTGTGGCGATGGAGACAGCAGCAATGGGAGGCCGTACAGGGACCCATGAGACACTCTGGACCTGGCAGCAGCATGAGGAGGCGGGGTAACAGGGGCCCATGGCAGATTACGGGCCTGGCAGCAGCAATGGGAGGCCCGTAATCTGCCAGCACCCTATGACAAAATGGAACACACCAGCAGTGTGAGGAGACCTGAAAGTGGCACATGGCAGAGTGTGACGATGGAGACAGCAGCAATGGGAGACCGTACAGGGACCCATGAGAGACTCTGGACCTGGCAGCAGCATGAGGAGGCGGTACGGGGGCCCATGGCAGATTACGGGCCTGGCAGCAGCAATAGGAGGCCCGTAATCTGCCAGCACCCTATGACAAAATGGAACACACCAGCAGTGTGAGGAGACCTGAAAGTGGCACATGGCAGAGTGTGGCGATGGAGACAGCAGCAATGGGAGGCCGTACAGGGACCCATGAGAGACTCTGGACTGGCAGCAGCATGAGGAGGCGGTACGGGGGCCCATGGCAGATTACGGGCCTGGCAGCAGCAGCAATAGGAGGCCCGTAATCTGCCAGCACCCTATGACAAAATGGAACACACCAGCAGTGTGAGGAGGGGGGGGGGGGGGGGGTCGCGGGTAGGTGACTGAAAGTGGCACATGGCAGAGTGTGGCGATGGAGACAGCAGCAATGGGAGGCCGTACAGGGACCCATGAGACACTCTGGACCTGTCAGCAGCATGAGGAGGCGGTACAGGGGCCCATGGCAGATTACGGGCCTGGCAGCAGCAATGGGAGGCCCGTAATCTGCCAGCACCCTATGACAAAATGGAATACACCAGCAGTGTGAGGAGACCTGAAAGTGGCACATGGCAGAGTGTGGCGATGGAGACAGCAGCAATGGGAGGCCGTACAGGGACCCATGAGAGACTCTGGACCTGGCAGCAGCATGAGGAGGCGTACGGGGGCCCATGGCAGATTACGGGCCTGGCAGCAGCAATAGGAGGTCCGTAATCTGCCAGCACCCTATGACAAAATGGAACACACCAGCAGTGTGAGGAGACCTGAAAGTGGCACATGGCAGAGTGTGGGGATGGAGACAGCAGCAATGGGAGGCCGTACAGGGACCCATGAGAGACTCTGGGACCTGGCAGCAGCTATGAGGAGGCGGTACGGGGGCTCATGGCAGATTACGGGCCTGGCAGCAGCAATAGGAGGCCCGTAATCTGCCAGCACCCTATGACAAAATGGAAACACCACAGCAGTGTGAGGAGACCTGAAAGTGGCACATGGCAGAGTGTGGCGATGGAGACAGCAGCAATGGGAGGCCGTACAGGGACCCATGAGACACACTGGACCTGGCAGCAGCATGAGGAGGCGGTACAGGGGCCCATGGCATATTACAGGCCTGGCAGCAGCAATGGGAGGCCCCGTAATCTGCCAGCACCCTATGACAAAATGGACAGCACCAGCAGTGTGAGGAGACCTGAAAGTGGCACATGTTTGGGGCATGATTCATGGCGGATTTAGTCAGTTGTGTCAGGAACTGGTGGTTTGAAATCCAGACTAATCCACGCCTGATTCATTTTCACAAACGTGAGTCTCTCCACACTTTGGGTGGACAGTCGTGTCCTCCGCGGAGTTACAATACCTCCTGCCGCACTAAACACGTGCTCCGATGCCACGCTACTGGCCGGGCATGACAGCCTTTCAAGGGCAAATTCAGCTAGTTGGGGCCAAAGGTCAAGTTTCGTTGCCCAGTAGTCAAGGGGATTGTCTACCTCGGTTGGCAGGGTGCTGTCCAAGTAGGCCCAAGCCTGTTGTTTGAGGTCCTGCTCCAGGTCCACCTGATGCTGCTGCGGCTGGGTTAGTAGTTTCCTCACTGCGCTGGTGAAAGAAAGCTACTCATCATCGACTGCAGACTGAGGCAGCCGCTGCTGGTGGAGCTGCCACTGCTCTACCACCCCCACCCTCCCCTGCTGCCATGGCAGCGGAACGCGAGCGCACAGGGCCCACAGTGTCTGAGGATGGACGTTGGCGCAGAAAGGCAGAGACCAACTGACTACATAGGTGGTTTTATAGTATGTTATTTTGGCCTCCCTCTCAGCAGGTGTGAAAAAGGCCACCATTTTTGAACGGTAGCGAGGGTCCAACAAGGTAGACAGCCAAAAGTTATCCCTCTGTTCTGATGGTTATTATTCGGCTGTCGGTACGCAAGCAAAAATCGAGCATTGCTATGGGCCATTTGTGCCAAGGAATGCGAGGGACTCTCCCTGCCTCCATCTCCACAGCATACTGCCACGGTGCGTCTGGGTCCTCTGTCTCCTCCTCCTCCTCCTCTACCAGATGCTCCTGCTCCTCCACTCCTGTCCGCTGAGTGGAAAAAACCACCCATTTCACTCAATAATTCCTGAGCACAAATGTCCTCCTCTACCTCCTCCTCTTCTTCCTGTCCTGCCCCCACAGGGGTCATGTGGCGTTGAGATCTGTGCGCCACGTCTACCGCACCCTGACCAGCCATTGTTAACAGCATTTGTTCCAGGACGTGCAACAGAGGAAATGACGTCGTTCATCCCCTAGTCCTGCCGACTCACGAATAGCGTGGCCTCCTCAAAGGGCCTCAGCAAGCGGCAGGTGTCACGCATGAGCTGCCAATGGCTGACATCGAAGTTACACAGGGGAGTACCTTTATCCGCTTGTAACATCAGGAAATCGGTGATGGCCTTTCGCTGTTCGTAAAGGCGGTCTAACATGTGTAGGGTTGAATTCCACCTTGTTGCAACGTCGCAGATCAGGCGATGCTGTGGAATTCCGTTTACGTGGCCGCTGCAGCTCAAGGAGGGTGTGCTTTGCGGTGTAGGAATGGCTGAAATGCATGCAAAGTTTACGTGACATTTTAAGGATGTCTTGCAGTGGGATGATGGATTTTAGGAACCGCTTGACAACCAGGTTGAACACGTGAGCATGCATGGCGCATGGCACAACCTTCCTTGACGCAGAGCAGACACCATGTTCTTTCCGTTGTCGGTCAACATGGTTCCGATTTTCAGTTTGCGCGGAGACAGCCATCTGTCGATTTCTCTGTTCATTACACTCAGAAGTTCCTCCCCTGTGTGACTACGTTCGCCAAGGCATACCAGGTGCAGCACAGCGTGACACCGTTGCGCCCTGCACATGTGATATGCCCGGTCGGGTAATGGGACTTGGCACAGGGGGGTGGGCGGCTGAGGACACGGCGGAAGAAGAGGTGGTAGAGGCGGACATCTTTTGTGGACCAAGGACGTGCAAACGTGGAGGCAAAAGCGGCGTGACCTGTCCAAGTTGTGGTGCGGCTGTGCCGGCACCACGTTCACCCAGTGGGCCGTAAATGACATGTACTGTCCCTGACCGTAGTTACAGCTCCACACGTCGGCGCTGCCGTGCACTTTGGCAGAGACCGACATGCTCAAAGACTGGCCCACCATCTCTTCTACATGTGAATGCAGGGCTGGCATGCCTTTTTGGCGAAGAAATGCCGGCTTGGCACTCTCCACCGCGGCGGCACGGCACAAGCCATCATTTCTCGGAAAGGTGCTGAGTCCACCACTTGGAAAGGGAGGGACTGCAGCACCAGCAACTTGGACAGGAGGATGTTCAGCTTTTGCACCGTCGGGTGCGTGCTCGCAAATGTTGTCTCTTGGAAACGGATTCCAAGAAAGACTGCTGACGGAATCCGTGAAGAGGAGTAGCAGGAGAAGGAGCATCTGAACGAGCGGAAGATGCCAACGAGCGACAACTCCCTCAGCAGAGGTGTGTTGGAGCCTTGACTGGTGATAGAGGGCGATTGACGTCGGGTGACGGAGCAAGTAAACGGAGCGGGTGATGGAGCGGGGGCTGGGGCAGGCAGAACCGCCGTATCTTTATCACGGTTTTCCCAGGCCCACCAAATGGCGACGCTGCATATGCTGATGCAACGCTGTAGTCCCAACATGGGCCCCCTGGCCACGCTTGACTTTCTGGCCACATAGTCGACATACGGCTACGTTTACTTCCTCGGGGGGCTTGACGAAAAATTGCCACACCGCCGAGTAGGAAACTTTGCCCCCGATACTCCTCACTGGCTGACTGCTACTTCCTCCGTGCACACCGGCACCACTACTGGCCGTGGTGGAGGCTGCAGTGGAGCTGGTGCTCTACTCCGTGGCCGTTTGCCTCCACTGACACTGCTGCGACCTGCTGCCTCCTGGGCAAACCCACCGACTGTTTTGCTCGCTGCCAAGCTGCCACCCTCTTACTCCTGATGATGCGGAAGCAAATGCCTGATGACGACGAGGCTGCCAAGTGCGATCAGCCTCATCATCATCAATTAGGGTCTCCGCCCTCACTACTAGCCCCCTCGGCTGCGTGTGGGTCAGGAGACAGACCTGTCTCTAGACCGGCTACCCGAGCCCACTCTCCTCGCCAGTACTTCTTCGCCTGGCTGCTGAAGAGGCGGATGTCTCCCCCCGTTCCTGACCGCCCTCTGTTAGCTCTTCCTCACTGTACAGTGGGGCTGAGCCCACAGCATGCGATACTTTGCTTGGTGAGGGAACACCAAAGGACAGGGGCAGGTAGAGGACACGTGATTTCAGTGGGCTTGCTCCCGGGCCATGCCAACTAACGGTTGTGTCTGACGTACCCACCGACCGTTGGCTGTAGGTGTCAGAGGTGACCTGGGAAGAGGAAGATGACCGAGCCAACCAATCGATGACGGCAGGGTTGTCGGTGGAGACACGACCGCTGGATGACACCGGAGCACTGGCCTCTGGCTGCGACTAGTGCTGCCTCGCGACCCCTTCCTCTGCTGCCACGTCTGCTTGCTCCTAAAACATTGCCTCCTCTGCCACTCCTCTGCGTGTTGTCTGACATACTCTTTAATTAAACGATTCTGTGTCCCTGAGTAACCATTCTGTGTCCTCTCAGTAACAATTCTGTGTGTCCCTCAGTAACAATTCTGTGTCCCTGAGTAACAATTCTGTGTCCCTGAGTAACAATTCTGTGTCCCTGAGTAACAATTCTGTGTCCCTCAGTAACAATTCTGTGTCCCTCAGTAACAATTCTGTGTCTGTCCCTGAGTAACAATTCTGTGTCCCTGAGTAACAATTCTGTGTCCCTGAGTAACAATTCTGTGTCCCTCAGTAACAATTCTGTGTCCCTCAGTAACAATTTCTGTGTCTGTCTCTGAGTAACAATTCTGTGTCCCTGAGTAACAATTCTGTGTCCCTGAGTAACAATTCTGTGTCCCCCAGTAACAATTCTGTGTCCCTGTAACAATTCTGTGTCCCTCAGTAACAACTCTGTGTCCCTCAGTAACAATTCTGTGTGTCCCTGAGTAACAATTCTGTGTCTGTCCCTGAGTAACAATTCTGTGTCTGTCCCTGAGTAACAATTCTGTGTCCCTCAGTAACAATTCTGTGTCCCTCAGTAACAATTCTGTGTCTGTCCCTGAGTGTAGTAACAATTCTGTGTCCCTGAGTAACAATTCTGTGTCCCTCAGTAACAATTCTGTGTCCCTCAGTAACAATTCTGTGTCTGTCCCTGAGTAACAATTCTGTGTCCCTGAGTAACAATTCTGTGTTCCTCAGTAACAATTCTGTGTCTGTCCCTGAGTAACAATTCTGTGTCCCTGAGTAACAATTCTGTGTCCCTGAGTAACAATTCTGTGTCCCTCAGTAACAATTCTGTGTCCCTCAGTAACAATTCTGTGTCCCTCAGTAACAATTCTGTGTCTGTCCCTGAGTAACAATTCTGTGTCCCTGAGTAACAATTCTGTGTCCCTCAGTAACAATTCTGTGTCCCTCAGTAACAATTCTGTGTCCCTCAGTAACAACTCTGTGTCCCTCAGTAACAATTCTGTGTGTCCCTGAGTAACAATTCTGTGTCTGTCCCTGAGTAACAATTCTGTGTCTGTCCCTGAGTAACAATTCTGTGCCCCTGAGTAACAATTCTGTGTCCCTGAGTAACAATTCTGTGTCCCTCAGTAACAATTCTGTGTCTGTCCCTGAGTAACAATTCTGTGTCCCTCAGTAACAATTCTGTGTCTCCACAGTCAGTAACAGTAACAATTCTGTGTCTGTCCCTGAGTAAAATTCTGTGTCCCTGAGTAACAATTCTGTGTTCCTCAGTAACAATTCTGTGTCCCTCAGTAACAATTCTGTGTCTGTCCCTGAGTAACAATTCTGTGTGTCCCTGAGTAACAATTCTGTGTCCCTCAGTAACAATTCTGTGTCCCTGAGTAACAATTCTGTGTCCCTCAGTAAACAATTCTGTCTGTCCCTGAGTAACAATTCTGTGTCTGTCCCTGAGTAACAATTCTGTGTCCCTCAGTAACAATTCTGTGTCCCTCAGTAACAATTCTGTGTCTGTCCCTGAGTAA